AGTTACAATACTCATTGCCTGCTGCCCTATGTTGGCTGGCATTTGCTCAGCTGTAGGCTTTTATCGTTGCTTTTCTGGTACCCTTTGGACAATTTTCTGGATGCTCAAAAGTTATGAGCCACGTAGAGTAAAAATTTTATTAATAATCAGAATTATAAAGAATAAATATTTGTTTTTAAGACTCGGAAAAGCCTCATATTTCAGAATATTATATGACTCGTAACTTGGGCTTGTATTATCGTACCCTTATAAGAAGGGAAATATGCTCTTTTCTTACTCTTTTTTTTAGCTCATAATGAGGGTGACAACTCAGAATTCGGAGACTTTTCTGACTCTAAAATGAGTCCGAATGTCGAAGTATTTTTTCGCTGAATGGTTAAGCTAAATTTGTTGAGCACCCGTGTCTTAGATTACTTACTTTGATACCGGTTCTAAAGAAAAGGAACAACACACACTACTTGGAGCAAATACAACTTTCTAGCAGCAAAATTTAGAGATAGTCTTGCAAGGCAAGTCAGCTAAATCCCGAGTTTTGCTATACTTGCTTTCATAATCAGCTCTTAATGCAATGCGAGCGCTAAAGCGACGCGATACGACAGTAGGCTCGCGAAAAGAGCTCCGATTGGTCGCAAGTTTAAATCTCGATGGAAGTCGTCGGGAATTTTCAAATTAAATAAATTTATGGAAATGATTGGGTGCCGCTTGAAAATTGATGAATAAAATATTAAAAACAAATATCTATCTCGACACGTGCACCACCTAGCAGATTAATTTATATTGCATTGTCAGCGGGTTCTGAGCCAAGTTAGAAGTTTAAGTTGGTTAAAAATTGCAGGAGTCAATCGTTACTTCGTTGATTAACGTCATTTTAAAGAGGACTGTTGAGAGCATTGCTTTGGGATAAATGAACAAATAGGTAGAGGAGTCTGAACCAGCTCGATTTGCTGCAGGGTGTTTATGTACATACATAACTAAGTATATATGTACATACTTAAAGCAAATGGAGAAACTGAGCGATTTGACGCATTTCGCTATGCAATTTCGTAAATCCGTAAGTAAGTATGTATGTATGTAAAAGATATTATGTTTGTATATACATACATACCCAGTCGGAAAAGTACTAATGCATTATATGCGTGATAAATAATATAATGCATTTTTTAAGAGTTCTAGAGTATATTACTGCTAACTATGTAATCAGCATTCGAATGTATTCAAAAAGTTTGAAAAATTTAATATTAAAACACATACATTTCTCGATACTGGGTAATGCAAAATTGAATGTCCCACTTTTCTTAGCACATCGCCCTGGGAAAAAACTGCATTTTAAAATGTGAAAAGGGTTGTTTTACTGATAGTTTTTTCGATTACTATACATTAGATTTTCCCACTGGGTAGATATGCCAGCAGATTTATAAAGAATCCCATCGTTGTGTTTGTGTAATTTTTATTGCATATGCAAATAGCAAAAAATAGGGATTTGGTACACTGTCAGGTAGTATGCTTCTACGTATTAATATGTTGTGTCGATAAAAGTTGGCGGTATGCATTGCAACAAAACGAAAAAAATATTAAACTACTATGTTTGTAAATTTTCTTGTATTTCCAGGTCAATTGAAATGGGGTGAGTATTGTCCAAAATTTGTGAGCTGCATATTCGAGCGTTTTCTTGTTTTCTTCTCATACTGTTAATACATATATAGGTACATACATACATATGTTGTAATTTGTTTGTGTGGAGAAAAGGATAATCTATATATGACATAAATTCAAAAAAAAAACTTTTCACTAAGCATGTGAGAAAAGTGTATACTTAAACTTGGTAAGTATCGGTATAAGTTCAGTTGATATGTTTTGGATTGTTCTAATAGAAATTGAATGGTGCCGCAAATATTCTTATGCACCTAGTTTATCTGAGTCATGGTGTTTACATTGAAAATATATATGTAGTACATACATAGGGCAGATCAAGTAGCAAAACAAAACCTACGCAAATCACTATTAGAATATCAAATGCTTTTCTCTTTATGCCGCTTGGAACATCTAGGTTTCCCATTTTGCTAAATTCCAGTCTAAGTATATTTATCTAAATGTATGCAATAAATTCATAAAGAATTTATATTTACCATGACTAAATTAATTATTCATAATTTTATTATCTCCTAACAATACAATAATCATTAAATGCACACAAATAGACAACTTATACTTTTGCTAATCATTGAATTTTGTTTTTCATTGGAATACTTTCTTGCATACATATGTATGCAATTGGTGATTTGAAACTAAATCAAATAATTCATTACTTTGTTAAGTAGCAGCCAACATTTTCCTAATTTTCTATACACTATGCTCTGTAAATTATTATCTTATTGTGTTTTTTGCTTTTAATTTAGTTACATTTATTAGGAGTCTGAGCGCCTTTATTAGGTTATAACTTATAAATTACGTACATGTATTTACATATATGTATGTATAGGTTTCTTCCCCATTTCGCTTAAACTATGCTTAGTTACTAAATAATGTCGATAGTTTTATTCGATTATTTGTAAAGAATGCTGAAGATGGTAATTTGTGTATCTACTTATATAATAACTAAAACGGGCGGAGTGGCTTTTTAATAAAGCAAAAAGAAAGCTTAAATTTTTTCATTTAAGTCTAAGGCCTAAAAATTAAAATTCGCCGAGTACAATGCAGAAATATTAATTTTTTGAAATTTTACGTACAATTTTGTGCTAATTTTTTTTTCATCAAATCCAAATAAATGGTTAAATAAAAAGCATTTACACGAAAATGTCTGACTCTGCGAATGAATGAAGGCAAATTATCCCCTTATATAAGAGTTAAAATGCTAAACTTGAATCAAACATTTTTAACAGACCCTATTCAAAAACACAAATGAATACTCCAAGTTGTTCATCTAAATCCGTCTAGCTGTATCTGAGTGTAGAAGAGTTCCCTTTTTTATTTCATCATGTTTCAAATCCCCCTGTACCTCTAAAAAAGTTCCTACTTCAAAAAATATGGCCTTGTTGCAAATATACAGGCCAGTTTCTTTAGTATGATTTCTCACTTTTGAAATTCTAAATAACGGTTCAGGTACAGCCAGGAAATTTGACATTTATTTTCCCACAAGCTCCGAGTATCTCAAACTCGGTCCAACTACATACACATATACCAGTACCCTCTTCGGTCAGCGAGCCATCAGTGTACTAGGATATCATATTTTTATTTAGCTTTTCTTATTACTTGGATAAGTTTTAAATATCTTTCTAAAGCTGAACGTTGCTTATATGGCATCTCTGGGCAATGCAATTTCTGAGTTTGTATATGAGTATAAAGCGGGTTCAGATCTTAAAGAACTTCCATGAATGCGGTTGGGCACGTTCCCATGGCTCCAGGTATGCATATATGGATGCCAGTTTTTTTTTTTTTAACTTCGTGAGCGATTTGATTTTCCGAAGTAGTGAAATTCTCCATAAGCTAACATGGGTCATATTAGTATTTCTCCGGAACATACCCAACTCTTTCCTGCTAACTAATTGAACGTCATGCGTGGTCTTACAGCTTCTTCGCAGCTTCCTACACGTACATATGTTTTCAAGCGTAATTTTTGGTATAGTATTATTTCCAGAAGTTTAAGCACTTTTTGTTACAAAATCGGGCATATTCTCGTTTTCGTACGAATCGAAAATCATGAAATTTTACTATCATTTTGTATACAAAAGAAAAATCAAGTTTATATTTCCTTGGAGGTTTTTCTGGATTCAATTACAGTCAGTCCTACTTTGGGTCACCATTTTTTGGTTACATTCAGAGCTAACTCGTTTCTATCACAGGTACGATACTCATGTATGATACTCATGTATATGTACCTTCCAGCATAAATTGCTCACTTGTCATGGCGTATGAGTTATCTACATACACACCAATATTAGCATTTAGTCCGACTGAAAGAGAAACTTGAAGTCATTGCAACATTTTTTACGGTACTTTTACGTTTCCAACTCATCGGTTGATAACATGTTTAACGACATTCGATTAGTGACTTGCTAGTATTGGCGGCCTCTCATTTAAGTTAAGCTTACATCAACTCTTGCGCAGAAAATTGCAGGATGAATGGATGCATCAAAATCGTAAAACCTCCATAGCAATTCCTATGCTCACAAGTTTAGAAGATAACTGCCAGGCTAGGATTTCTAACGAAGCTGTAGAGATAAAGAAAAAAGATAGAATCCTTCCAATACCTACTTTGCGGGTGACCCGCTTACCGAAGAGCTTCAATAATTTAGGGAATATTCCATTAGAGGGTCCGATAAGATTCGCTAGAAAATCTACATAGATGCTTTAAGGAAGTGTAATGGCAGACTGAACTCTAAAGTAACCTTATTTAACCCAATCTAACGCATGCCTGGTAACTACAAACCACACAAAAGACGACCTGGTCGTATGCTACAGCTACATCGGCATCAGATTCTCAAAAGTCATATATAGGGTCTTATTGAAAGTTTTGTGTGAAAGGAAGAACATACCTCTAAGGAACTGATTTTGTCTTATTGGTGCAGTTTTGGATTGGTTAATCCTTCATCGGTTTGGTATGAACTGCGAGAAGAGCATCGATACTGACTATTTCCTTTCCAGAAACGTATTGAAGAGGGGAAATCTTTTAAACTCATAGGAGTAAGCACATACATACATATGTGGGGCGTTCCATACCAAATGTACGGGCTTAGCACTTCATGTGTTTGATTTGAAAAATAAATAATAAATAAATATGAAATTTGAGCTTGATTAATACATTTCTAAAAACTTTCGAGTACAAAAACAAAAAACAAATTGATTTACATAACAGTTTTCCAAATATCTGGAGAATGGCGCGTGGGAAAAATTTGAAAAAATCACACATACACACATGAAAACAAATATTTAATTTTTTTTTAATTTTTCAAATACAAACTTTTTGAAAAAAAAAAAATAGTTTTTGAAAATAATATTCACACTCATCCACCCTCTCAAATTAGTTGTTTTGTTAAGTGTTTTTTTTATTTGTTACCATCATTTCGCATTCTCCTAAATTTTACACTCTACTTTATTTCTATAGTTTATTTAGACTTACAAAACAATTGCACTGGATTGTGTGCGGTTGTGCATTTGTACAATACAGTATATGTACGCTGCTTTTCAAGAATTTTCAACTACATAAGTAGTATGTATGTATTTGTTTTGCACCAGTCTTTGTTTTTACTCAGCGAAAATATTGATAGTTATCGCTCTAACTTTTCATTTATTTTCTTCGCCAAATATGTAGGTATGTATTAGTTACTTATTAGTATTTTCAGTAAGTTTCCTTCCATGTTTTTTTTTTCTCTTTAACTCTACACATTTTAAACACAACTCTCCGGACCCGGTAATGTGTCCGTAATAATATGATTCCGATTTGCGTTCGCTTTTTGTGTGATCGTTGCTGTTGGTGTATGTGTGTTCGCTGTGTGCGAACTTTGCGTTAATAGCGTGCCATTGCTACCGCCCATACCCAGTATTGAGCCTATGCCCAAACCTTTGGGCAATGTCATGTGAGCACTGCCACCTCCGCCACCTGTCATACTGGGTGGCAAGCCCGCAGCCGCTTTGCTTAAATTATAATCGATTAGACTGCTTGCTGCCAGATAGTCGGCAATGGATAGTTGCTCATCAGCTGGCAATGTTGATTGATGTTGTTGCTGCTGCTGCTGCTGTTGTTGTTGTTGCAAGTGATGTAGACTGGAATTTGCTGCTGTGACAGATGGATGCGGCAGTGTATGATGATTGACGTAATGTCCATTACTCAGATTATTCTGCATTAAAGAATGGGACGTCGTTCCAGCCGTTGGTGTATTATTTATATTATTGGATGCGGTACCGGCACTACCTGCTGAATTTAGTGTACTATTGCTGCCGCCGTAGTTGAGGCCAAGCGGATCGTATCGCGAGATGTCGTGACGGCTCAGCGGCAAAGCGTCATAGAGTAGTGGTTGCTGTGGACTTTGATAGTTCTTACGCACTTCCGAGCCCAATTTTAAGGTGCTTGATTGTGAAGGTGGACTGTTGAGAGGATCGTTTGTGCTGCCCGGATCGTTGTAACTGATTGCGGCGGTATCCTGAAATATATTAGTGTAAACTTGAGTAAAAATCACTATGTATCTACTAATAATAAATAAAGGAATATCTTGTGCAATTTGGCCTATTTTTGTTAAATATAAATGTTGAGCAATTAGTCCACTCCCGACCTTTTATTTCTAAATTTTTTCAGGTATTGGCTATAGGCCACAGATATTGACCGATTTGATTGTTTAGAATAGACTTGTTTGAAATCGATTTTTAAATTTTATTTGTTAATTTAAATTTTTTTTAGTGAAGAGTGCAGAGAAAGTAACAATTTTGAAAAAAATTGATTCTTCTGTTTCTGCTAATGAATGTTATATTATAAAAGTTAGTTGAAAACAACTTAAAGGTTATCCCAAAACTAAAAAAATTGCATAATAAAAAAAAAAAATCTCACCGAAATATTTTTGCTTCGAATTTTTAGAAAAATGTCAGATAAGCAGCCTGCCAAATTTCAATACAAAAAGTGCAAGTTGCAAATGATTAAGTTATGGCATTGGCTTTTGTATCTGCCTAGTACAGCCTGGAAAAAAAATATTAAAAATCATCCCAAAATATTTTTTTTTTATTTTGAAATCGGTTGACATTTAACCGCCGCATAAAGGGAAATTAACTGTTGATTTTCTTCAAAAAAGGCTGGATGTGTAAAATTTTTAATCGAATGGAATATATTTTTTTAAATACTTTTAAAAAAGATTGTTTTGCACCGAATTAAAAGGCAGGGTTTTAATTATGATCCACCTTTATAATCATACAATCTATAATTTTCCCCTGTGCACTGTGCTATGAAGCTTTTCATATATTTATTTTATGAGGAAAATACATGTATTAGTAGAGTTGCTATAAAATCATTGAAAATAAAAACTTTTTAATGGAAAAAATATTACCCTAACACAGCGTCAAGCAGTTAAACTATATTTCATTTTTAACTTTAAAATTTTACTAAATACTTTTCATAATCGATAAATCTCATCTCTTATTCACAAAAATTAGTTATTTTATGTGTTCACGCACGTTTCGAATAAAAATTAGTAAGTAATATTTTAGAGTTAAATTTTTACAAAAATAGCTGGAAGATTTATAAAGCGAAGCATTTTTACTCTATCAAAAAATTTGAATTTTTAACAATTTTAGAGCGATTCACTTGTATGGAAAACTTCCAAGTCTCGGCGGCATGATTGTTAACCAATTTCAAAATAAAAAGCTGAGTCTCTCTACTTTCCAATTTCTATAGTTCTGAGTGTTGATAGCAAGAAAATTCAAAATGTTTATTTTCCAATTTATAAGAATAAAAATACATCAGTTTATACATACTGCACTTACATAGTCCGCCGTTGCATTTGTGCTCGCCACAGTGGTAAAATTTGATTTATTGCCAGCAACGCCACAATTACTACCCGCAGGACCACTTCCTGCCAGGTACAAACCACCCGGCCTATTGCCTAGCGGTGATGATGTCTCAATTCCGGTTGTACTCTTTTGCGCATTCAAAATATCCGGTTGCTTTTCGATGCCCTGCTTAAGTGTGTAAGCAACAACTAAACGTTGATGACCGGCGCCGGTCTCCAGTGGTGCAGTCACTGTAACATCCATACCTAAACGGTTTGGTAGAAGGCGAAAGAGAATACACCAAGTGGGTCAACAAATGTTAAATAAACACAAAGGCATTGTTTTTAGAGAAACTTATTTAACAAAAAAATAATAATGTTAGTTATCGCAACGAAAGGTGTTTTAGCAGTCGATTTCGATGCGTAAAGTTTTTATTATGTCCTTTATATATGTATATACAAATTTATTATCGCAAAAATGTGTGTATGCATGCCAGAGTAATTTACCTAAATGCTTATCCTTATCGTCGCAAAGATTTCGCCCACCCTGACAGCGTCGCTTGCGCACGGCAATAACCACCACGAAGAGTACCGCAATGCCTACGGTGAACAAAGTGCCGGTAAGAAGCGCTGCGAGAGGTAGAATAGAAGCTATACGTCCATCTGAAAATTGAAGGCAATGATTACATAGGCGAATTATAAATGATGCATTTCATAGAGACAACGGAAATTAAAGGGTTTTCGTTATTATTGATTTTCTTACGTCTTGATTTATACTTATGTTTGTATATTAGGGCGGGTCATTTTTTTTTATATGCGCGTATTCCATAGGAAGATTCTACGTGTAATTCTAAGCAAACTTTCCGAATAATTTATTGGTCTATATTTATTTTCGAATTCGCCAAATCGCGAAAATAGTTTTGGAAAAATTCAGAGCTGCGCGCTCTGGAGTAGTTGAAAGAAAACAAGTAAGAAAGTCTAAGTTCGGGCGGAGCCGAACATTAAATACCCGGCGCAAGTATTAAATATATGTTTTTTCACCTTTCCGAAACCTTCCGCTAGATGGTAAGCCGGGGTGTATCAATTTTGAGTAAATTAGCGTCCTTCAATTTCGAAATATTGAAGTTTCAAGCATTTCTGAAATTTACCGTTATATGAGAAGCGGCCGGTATTTTAGTCCGATTTCAATAATTTTCAACGTTTTGCTTATATGTGGCAAGCACAATAACCGCACCGAGTTTGGTACAAATTGGTAGAGCGGTTACCGATATACGTATATGTGATCATAAGTGGGCGGTGCCACGCCCATTTTCCAAAATTTTACCATAAACGTATTTCTTGGTAAGGAATTGTTGCAAGCATCAATTTTGAATAAATTAGCTTCAATATTTACTGATTTATCGAAGATTTTGTATTTCTCTAAATTACCGTTATATGGGATGTGGGCGTGGTTATTGTCCGATTTTAAAAAGTTTCGGCGATTTTTTATGCTGTACCAAGGCCAACAACTGTGCCAAGTTTGGAAGAAATTGGTGCAGCGGTTACCAAGATATACACATGTAACCATAAGTGGGCGTGGCTACGCCCATTTTCCAAAAAATTATAATATTCTTATTTTTCGTCTAAAAATTATTGTAAATATGAATTTTGAGTGAATAATCTCCAGTAGTTACTAAAATATCGGAGTTTTCGTATTTCAGGAAATTACCGTTATATGGGAAGTGGGCGTGGTTAAAGTCCGATTTCGCCCATTTTCAATAACAACCTACCTTGGATTAAGGGAAACCTACATACCACATTTCGTTGAGATATCTCAATTTTTGCTCGAGTTATCGTGTACACGGACGGACGGACAGACGGACGGACAGACAGACATGGCTTAATCGATTTCTTTTTTCATCCTGATCATTTATGTATACATTTGTCTATATCTATCTCGATTCGTTATAAAAATAAGTGCAGAAATGGATTCCTCATACCAAAAAAAACTCCGTATGTCAAGTTTCTATATAAAATTTACATATGTGATATGCAAATGTGTATTTTGGAAAAATCTGTACTATACTTTATTGGTTTCGTTCGCAGAAAAATAAAGAATTTATTTTTGATTAAATAAATAATGGTCGCTACAATGGCATACTATGACTTGGTAGGAATTAGGTTCGGCGTCCGGTCCCCCATCCTTCAGAATGGCGTTTCTCAGATGATATTTCTAACAAAGAAAAACTTGTCATAGAAAATCGTTGGTTGTTCCTTCATCTTTTTTTGATTTTGGCCGAGTTCAGCAAAGCACGCCAGTCGTTTCTCTTCTGTGCCAACTGACGCCAATTGGAAATACCAAGTGAAATCAAGTTCTTCTCCACCTGGTCTTTTCATCGCAACCACCAGCGGGTTCCCAGTTGAATACTTTCAGAGTTGGAGTGTCGGTGTCCATTCGAACGACATGACCAAGTCAGCAGAGCTGCTGTATTTTAATTCGCTGCATTATGTCTATGTCGTTGTAAAGCTCTTCTCGAATAATGCAAGTGCCGACTCATCGGATGTTGTCATATGCCAGCACAGGCATGATGAATGACTTATAGAGAGTGTTGTTCGTACGTCGAGAGAGGACTTTCCTTCTGAATTGCCTACTCAGTCCAAAGTATCACTTGTTGGCAAGAGTGATTCTGACATTATTATCGGTATTAATTCTAGTTCCCAAATATACGAGATTCTCCACTTTCTCGAAATTATAACTGTCAACAGTGACATGGGTGCCATGGCGCCAATGTGTTGACTGTTTGCTTGAGAAGTCGTTCTCAATTCTGACGAAGCTGGTGGTATTGCTCAGCGTCATTTTATACAGCCATATCAGTTTCACGGGGATGCCAAATTCAGACATCGCGGCATAAAGACAACTTCTCTTCGTGCTGTCGAAAGCGGCTTTGAAATACACAAATAGATGATGTCGATCCTTTTCTCGCGGGTCTTTTCCAGGACTTGGTGTATTGTGAGTACCTGGTATATGATACATTTTCCAGGCCTAAAGCCACACTTATAAGTTCATTGACGGTGGGCTTCAGTCTTTCACAGAATATATTCTGCATAGAAATTGATGCATGCACCTTATCAGCTCCTCGGCACCGTATTTCAATAGCTAAGCTGGCAGACTATCAGCACCAGCAGCTTTGTTCTTGTTCATCCGTGTTGTTGCTATTCGTAGCTCGTCAACTCCGTCATCATCGACTGGGGGCTCGGGTTCATCTTCCTCACAGCTTTCAGTGCTGATACCATAATTTAAGTAAGTTCTGGGCATCAGTCACTAGTTCGTCATTGTTGTTCTAACAAGAGTTCGCCCTGGTCTTAAAACCTTCCGTAAGTAGGGTTGCGATATCGAGGGAAAAAGCATCGATATTTTCGATGTCGATATATCACATTTAAAAAAATCGATGTCGAGAACATCCACCACAAACATCGATAAACATGGATGGATAGATGGACTCTTATGGCCTTATTCATAAAAAATAAAGGAGCTTTATAAAAGGTTTATAAATTAAAAAATGTATGAAAACGTCAATTTATGAAGCTCTTTAAACCTACTTTATTTTTTATGAATAAGGCCATTACACTTTGCTTCATTTATAACAAATGACAGATGTAAACAAAGTAAAAAAATAATAGTAATTTTACAAATTTAAAGCAAACGGACGTTATTTACAGAAAAATATAGTTAGGGATTGAATTGCGCATATTTTTTTACAACACCAAGTGCCCCCAAGAAGTGTTAAACCACGAAAATAGCTTAAAAAACGCTTTCAAAAATTCGAAACGAGAGGGAAGTGCAGTTTTCAATTGTGATCGAGATTGCAGGAAAATTTTTCTGCGTGTGTAATTAAATTTAAAGAAATATTGCCCCTTGTCATCAAAAATAAGCAAACCAAATAACCCCCGCTTCCCGCTGGTAGTTATATAACACTTGAATAGCTCCTTAATTAACTTTTGCTTGTTTTGTGCACACACGGCCAGTTAAGCAGGCATATCTGAATAGATTTCCTTCATCATTCTTAGCAATTTGATGTGCATTTTTATTGTTATCTGTTGCAAACAGACAATTTGGGAACTAAATGGGTTATAAAATTTCCATACACAAACGCGCTTATTTTCGACAGTTTCCAGTTTAAGTAATATTAATCAAAACAGCTCTTATTTATTTTATGTATTATGTGATTTCTGGAAGCGTCGGATACAAAAAAGTGGTGTAACTGGGTTCATGTAATTTAAAATTGTATCGATGATTAATAACAATAATAATAGATTTGGCGCTTAGCCAACTCATTTTGCCTATCTTCCCGTTGGCCACCGCGAAATTCTCCATTTTCGATGAAATTTCCCGCACTGGCATAATTCCATTAAAAATCTCAAATTTTGTATATACAATATTTAAACGATAAATTTTTTCACTACGTTAGGTGAGAGTGGCATGAGTTCAAACTTTTCAACTTTTTACTCGAATTTTTTAGAAGCCAATTGTGGCATGCGACTTGTTGTTGTCGCACGAAGGGGAGGGACCTACAGTTTTACGCCGACTCTGCCGGGGGCCGACCCCTATTACAACATTATTTTTCTTTTTTTACGTTGGCCGGAACTGGGCTCGAACCCTCACCGTGCGGAATGGTAGTGTGGCACTTCTAACCAGTACACCACAGCGATCGCTTAATAAATTTTA